CAGGCAGTAACAAGCCACACCTAAAAACTACCAGGCCATCAAATACTAATCAAGGTGGCCAACTGAAACATTCACACCTAGCTCCAACAGACAAGAGTTTTTCCCCCATCCTGGACCTTCCACAGATATATAAACTCCATTTTCCTAGTTTCCCAGAGACCTCGCAACCTCTGAGGATGCCTCCATAGATGCAGGTGAAACGTCAGGAGATAATGCTTCTAGAACATGGCCATATAGCCCGAAAAACCTACAACAACCCAGTGATTCCAGCCATGGAAGCCTTCAACAATACATCTCAGGTTATGCCCAAGCTTTCCAGGTGCAAGAACAATCACCTGGTGAAACAAATGCCTATGCCAGAGGTTAGTCTTGGGTCGGGAAGAGGTCCCTTCTGGCCCCTCAGAGCCCTCTTTGTCCCTCAAGCCCAGGCTATCCCATCACCGTTGCAGGCGTGACACTCCAGGACTGCTCTTCCAGTGGATGAGGGCCTCTCTGGCTGGACTCATGGGAGTAGCATAGAAACCTGAAGGTGGGGGAAACCACCCTCCAAAGGTCATCTAGTTTGTCCCCTTCTGCCAGACAGGAAGACGCCCCAAGCCTACCCAATAGATGGTCAATCAGCCTCTATTTCACAGACGTCTGGAGAAGAGATTCCACCAGGCTCCAAGAAGGTCTGTATGAGCTTTGGAAGGGACCTCAAAGGTCATCTAGTCTGACCCCTTCTGCCAGGTAGGAAGACATAAAATCCAAGCCTGCCCAGAAGATAGCCATCCAGCCTCTGTTTCACAGATCTATAGAGAAGAGACTCCACCAGACTCCAGGAAGGTCTCTATAAGGTTTGGAAGGGACCTCCATGGTCATCTAGTTTGACCCCTTCGGTCAGGCAGGAAGACACACAATATGAGGGCCTTTCCACATAGCTGTATAACCCAGAATATCAAGGCAGAAACCGCCACAATATCTGTTTTGAACTGTTATCTGAGTCCACACTGCCATATATGCCAGTTCAAAGCAGAAAACGTGGAATTTTATTCAGCTGAGTGGAAGGGGCCCAAGTCTGCCCAACACATGGTCATCTGGCTTCTATTTCACAGACCTCTAGAGAAAAGACTCCACCAGACTCCAAAAACGTCTATATGAGGTTTGGAAAGGACCTCAAAGGTCATCTAGTCTGACCCTTGTGCCAGGCAGGAAGATACACAATCCAAGCCTGCCCAACAGATGGCCATGCGACCTCTGTTTCACAGACCTCTAGAGAACCGACTCCACCAGACTCCAAGAAGGTCTATATGAGGTTCAGCAGGGACCTCAAAGGTCATCTAATCTGACCCCTTCTGCCAGGTAGGAAGACATACAATCCAAGCCTGCCCAGAAGATAGACATCCGGCCTCTGTTTCACAGATCTCTAAAGAAGAGACTCCACCAGACTCAAAGGTCATGTAGTCTGACCCTTTCTGCCAGGCCAGAAGATGCACAATCCAAGTGTACCCAGGAGATAGCAATCCAGCCTTTGATTAAAGACCTCTAAAGATGGAAACTCCCCCCAAAAAAGTCTGTATTACATTTGGAAGGGATCTGAAAGGTCATCTAGCCAATCAATTTGCCCCAAGGAAATGGGAAATTATTGTTTCCATTCTATGTTTGATGTTTTGTCTTATGTCTGTTATAACAGGCTGTGGTTTTTATTTAATTTTGGTTTGTTAAGTTATAATTCGTGTTTATATGTTGGGTTGTATAAATTTTGTTAGTATGGATGTCTTGTTGTTGTATTTGGGCATTGAATGTTTACCTTTTATGTTTGGAATTTTCCCTGAGTCCCTTTGGGGAGATAGAGCAGAATATAAATAAAGTTGTTGATGATGATTATTATTATTTGAAACACATTATATTACTTTTGTTATTATTTTGTTGATATGCATTTTAATGTTATGTTTTAACTGTTCGGTTGGGCCTGGGCCCATGTAAGCCACCACAGAAGCGAATGACCTGGGTAATTGGTAGAAGAAAATATGGCCAATTTCAGCAGTATCTGGGGCAGAGCTAGAACTAGTCATTCTCAAAGGTTTGTTTAAACCACCAGGTCTTCAGGCTCTTACGAAATTGGGGAGGGATGAGACCTGTCTTATTTCTCTAGGAAGGGCGTTCTAGGGGCGAGGGGCCACCACCGAGAAGGTCCTCTCTCTCGTCCCCACCAACCGTGCTTGTGACGGTGGTGGGAACGAAAGGAGGGCCTCCCTGGAAGATCTTAAAGTTCGCACCGGTTCATAGAACTAATGTGTGTAGATCCAAGTAACTGACAGGTGGTGATTTTGCCAGCACCAATTGTGTTTAAGTGCAGGCCAAGGTCTTGAGGCACTGCACCCAGTGTGCCGATCACCACTGGGACCCCCTTGACTGGCTTGTGCCAGAGTCTTTGCAGTTCGATCTTTAAATCCTCATATCGTGTCATCTTTTCTAGTTGTTTCCCTTCAATCCTGCTGTCACCTAGGATTGCAACATCAACAATCCATACTTTGTTTTTTAACACGATTGTGAGGTCAGGAGTATTATGCTCCAAAACTCTGCCTGTCTGAATCTGGAAGTCCCAGAGGAGTTTGGCGTGTTCATTCTCTGTAACTCTTTCTGCCTTGTGATCCCACCAGTTAGTTGTTGCAGGCAGGTGGTGTTTGTGGCACAAGTTCCAATGAATCATTTGAGCAATGGTGTTATGCCTCTGCTTGTAGTCTGTCTTCTTGCAGCAGCTGAGGATGTGTATTGTTTCATCTGCTTCATTGTAGAGTCTACATTTGGGATCTGTTGTCGTCTTTTCAATTTTGGCTTTGATGGCATTGGTTCAATTATTATTATTGTTGTTGTTAGTCTGATCTCCTTGTTGCCATGCAGGAGTATACAATCCTATAGAAGAATATAAATACAGCACTACGCCTGTCACCATTGTTAAAGAGTCTGGGAATCCTTTTGGACCCTCTGCTGACGATGGAGGCCCAGTTCTCCACCACCAGCAGAACCGCCTTTTTTCATCTGCGTAGGCTAGACGGCTGGCCCACTACTTGTTCAGGGACGACCTAGCTATGGTGATCGAGACTACGGTCATCTCAAGACTGGACTACTGTAATACCCTCTACATTGGCCTTCCTCTATTGGTGATCCGGAAGCTCAAGTTGGTACAAAACGCAGCTGCTTGGCTTCTTGCGGGAACTCTGATGAGATGCCACATAACCCTAACAGCTGCATTGGTTACCCATTGAGCACCGGATCACTTCCAAAGTGATGGTACTCACCTTTAAGGCCTTGCATGGTCTGGGGACGATGTCCCTGAGGCACCGCCTCACCCCCTACCAACCCCAGAGATCCCTCCGTTCTGAGGACCAAGATCTATTGGAAATTCCCAGTGTCAAGACCTTGCGTCTAACAGCAACCAGATGCAGAGCCTTCACAGCAGTGGCACCATCACTCTGGAATACTCTGCCACTTGAAGTCCGTACCTTGTGGGATTTATCAGCTTTTCGCAGGGCATGTAAGACATATCTATTTCGATGGGCCTTTGATCTCTGATTGTTTTTAAATTGTTTTAAATTGTGTTCGATATTAGCCTGTTCTTGTAAGCCGCTCCGAGCCCCAGGGGAGTGGCGGCATATAAGTTCAAATAATAAAATAAATAAAATAAAATTATTAATCCAAGCCTGTCCAAGTTTTTAACTATTTTATTATTTATTTATTTGGGGTTCTTTTACCCCGCCTTTCTCACCCCGAAGGGGACTCAGGGCGGCTTACAGAAGCAAAGGCACAATTTGATGCCTGCAGCACAGAACAATCAAGACACAAAATTACATCAATTCACAATTCACACTAGTTCATGCATTGTACCAATAAAAACAATAAAATCAATAAAACAATACAAACCCAATTCCTCCTCTTACATGGTCAGCAATCGCTAACTCATAGTTCTAATTTTCCGTTTTCCGTTCCACTTCAACAATCCTGTTGGTCTTACTCGCCTGATTGTCTTATTTTATTGCCGGATTGCCCAAAGGCCTGGTCCCATAACCATGTCTTCACCCTCCTCCTGAACGAGAGGAGGGATGATGATGTCCTGATTTCCCCCGGGAGTGAGTTCCACAGGTGGGGGGCTACCACTGAGAAAGCCCTGCTCCTCGTCCCCACCAGCCTCACTTGTGACAGTGATGGGGTCGAGAGCAGGGCCTCCCCAGATGATCTCAGACTTCGGGGTGGGACGTAGAGGGAGATACGTTTGGACAGATACACTGGACCGGAACCGTACAGGGTTTTGTAGGTCAAAACCAGCACCTTGAATTGTGCTCGGAACTGAATCGGCAGCCAGTGGAGCTGGCACAGCAGGGGGGTGGTATGCTCCCTGTATGTCGCTCCGGTGAGCAGTCTGGCTGCCGCTCGCTGGACTAGTTGAAGTTTCCGAACAGTCTTCAAGGGCAACCCCACGTAGAGCGCGTTGCAGTAGTCTATTCTGGATGTGACAAGAGCGTGGACCAACGTGGCCAGATCAGACTTCCCAAGGTCTGGGCGCAACTGGTGCACAAGTTTTAACTGCGCAAAAGCTCTCCCGGCCACCGCCGAGACCTGGGGTTCCAGGCTCAGTGGTGAGTCCAAGATCACTCCCAAGCTGCGAACTATGTTGTGCTCTGCTTCGAGTTGCAAGGAGAGGCTGGTAAGACATAAAATAAAAATATTACTATGTAACCACATTTGGAAAAATTCCAGACTGGGACTCTGGAGGCTTTGAGGGTGCGGTGCTTGCAATTGTGGGAAAGGGAGGCCAGGCAGAGGCCCTCCTCTGGCTTCCCACCACTTCTGAGTCCTGGAGGGATTCCCTTCCTTTTGCAGGGAGCTGCAGGCCTTCCCTCCTGAGGCAAAGTGGCCAAGCCTTTGGCCACGCCCCCTTCGCTTCCCATTGGGCGGGAGGGAGGGAGGCGGCGACGTCACCCAGGCCCCGCCCCCTTCACGGCCGCCGCCATTTTTTCCGGAAGGAAGGAAGAGCAAGAAGGCGAGGGAGAAGGTGAGGCGGGGTGGCCTTGGGTGGGGCATCAGAAAAGGGGCGAGGCCTCCCCACAAACAGATCTCCACCCAGGACCCATTTCGGATCTGGACAAAGGGGCCAGGGAAGGCAAGAAGTGGGGGAGGCCTTTCTTTCCCTCTTTCCTGAGGGATTCCTTCCCTCAGTAGCGTATAGCAGGGCCCTCCAGGTGTTTTGGACTTCAACTCCCACAATTCCTAACAGCCTCAGGCTTAAACGGCTGAGGGGGACAAGGAAAGGGCCCCAGGCTGAAAGGAATTGTGGGAGTTGAAGTCCAAAACAGTTAGAGGGCCCAAGTGTGCCCATCCTTGGCATAATTATTACTTTGTTGTTGTTCATTCGTTCAGTCGTCTCCGACTCTTCATGACCTCATGGACCAGCCCACGCCAGAGGTCCCTGTCGGCCGTCACCACCCCCAGCTCCTTCACGGTCAGTCCAGTCACTTCAAGGATGCCATCCATCCATCTTGCCCTTGGTCGGCCCCTCTTCCTTTTGCCTTCCACTTTCCCCAGCATAATTGTCTTCTCTAGGCTTTCCTGTCTCCTCATGATGTGGCCAAAGTACTTCAACTTTGTCTCTAGTCTCCTTCCCTCCAATGAGCAGTCGGGCTTTATTTCCTGGAGGATGGACTGGTTGGATCTTCTCGCAGTCCAAGGCACTCTCAGCACTTTCCTCCAACACCACAGCTCAAAAGCATCGATCTTCCTTCGCTCAGCCTTCCCTAAGGTCCAGTTCTCACATCCGTAGGTTACTACAGGGAATACCATGGCTTTGACTAGGCGGATCTTTGTTGCCAGTCTGATGTCTCTACTCTTCACTATTTTATCGAGACTGGACATTGCTCTCCTCCCAAGAAGGAAGCGTCTTCTGATTTCCTGGCCACAGTCTGCATCTGCAGTCATCTTTGCACCTAGAAATACAAAGTCTGTCACGGCCTCCACATTTTCTCCCTCTATTTTCCAGTTGTCAATCATTCTTGTTGCCATAATCTTGGTTTTTTTGATGTTTAGCTGCAACCCGGCTTTTGCACTTTCTTCTTTCACCTTGATTAGAAGGCTCCTCAGCTCCTCCTCGCTTTCGGCCATCAGAGTGGTGTCATCTGCATATCTGAGGTTGTTAATGTTTCTTCCAGCAATTTTCACGCCAGCTTTGCTTTCATCAAGCCCCACACATCCTCGCATGATGTGTTCTGCATACAAGTTAAAAAGGTTGGGTGAGAGTATGCAGCCTTGCCGTACGCCTTTCCCAATCTTGAACCAGTCTGTTGTTCCGTGGTCAGTTCTGACTGTTGCTCCTTGGTCCTTGTACAGATTCCTCAGGAGAGAGACAAGGTGGCTTGGGATGCCCATCCCACCAAGAACTTGCCACAATTTATTATGATCCACACAGTCAAAGGCTTTAGAATAGTCAATGAAGCAGAAGTAGATGTTTTTCTGAAACTCCCTGCCTTTCTCCATTATCCAGCGGATATTGGCAATCTGGTCTCTCGTTCTTCTGCCTTTTCTAAACCCAGTTTGAACGTCTCTCACCCCACAGGGGACTCAGGGCAGAATACAATGTACATATACATGGGTTGTTGCAGGTTTTTTGGGCTATATGGCCATGTTCTAGAAGCATTTTCTCCTGACGTTTCGCCTGCATCTATGGCAAGCATCCTCAGAGGTTATGAGGTCTGTTGGAACTAGGAAAATTGGGTTTATATATCTGCGGAATGGCCAGGGTGGGAGAAAGAACTCCTGTCTGTTGGAGCTAGGTGTGACAAACAAGACAACAGGAGCTAGGTGTGACTCACAGACAACAGACAAGAGCTCTTTCTCCCACCCTGGACATTCCAGATATATAAACCCAATTTTCCTACTTCTAACAGACTTCACAACCTTTGAGGAATGAATCAGATTTTTTTTAATAATGTAGGTGCATACCTAAAGTTTTGTTTTATGAAATTAGGTAGGTGACGTCTCCCATTCTCCATTCTGCTTACACTGAGTAAACTGATTTCTGGGGTTTGTCATGACTCTTGCCAGCATAGCAGGTGTTATGTTGGCAATTTCTTCCTGGATGTTGGTCTTCAAATCTTGTAGGGTCCTTGGACGGTTCACATAAACACAGGATTTCAAAAAACCCCATAGAAAAAAATTACAGGGGGCCAGATTTGGAGAGTGGGCCTTCCACTTCAAATCCGCTCAAAAAGTAGGCCTCAACGGCAAAAGCATGATGCGTTATGTTGGTGACTGAACTGTGTCAGGACAAAACTTCATACTCCCGCCTCTTGAACGAGACCACTAGCGCTCTGCTATGTCTTCAACGGACTGAATGGTGCGCATTTAAAAAAAGGAAATTATGCTGCCTCACCCTGTATATAGACAGACACACAGAGGCTAGCTAACATTCCAGCTTTATGAGGGTATTCTGGCCACTAGGGGAGCTGTCGCTTCACTGTCCATTTGTGACACGGATGGAGTACTTCCTCATTCTTTTGCATGCTTGCTGGAGTTTTATGGTGTCGTAAATTAGTTAAATTAGCCTCCCCACATAAGCGGTGCTTAAATTTCCTATTTGACAGATGCAACTGTCTGTCAAGCTGCAAAGGTTGATAGCAAGCTACACAATGTTCGGAAGCTCACTCCGACCCGGGCTGGCTTCGAACTCGTGACCTTTCGGTCATGAGTAGTGATCTTAATGCCGCTGACTCCCTGCGAGCTGTGCCACAGTCCCGGTGCTATAAAATAATTTCTATAGAATAATAAGTATTTTATAGAAACACGTTTTAATGTGCTTCTTTTCATAGAATCATAGATTGGGCCATCCATTCTGCTGAATGTCTCTCCCAGTCAGGAAGTTCTTCCTAATGTTCAGGTGGAATCTCCTTTCCTGTAGTGTGAAGCCATTGTTCCATTGCGTCCTAGTGTCCAGGGCAGCAGAAAGCAAGCTTGCTCCCTCCTCCCTAGGACTTTAATAAAAAAATATATAATGCTTATGTGTTACTCGCTGTAACTGCCACGTGTTGCTGTGGCCAGCCTTCCCTCCCTTTTTCTCTCCTTCTTTCTTTTTCTCCTTCCTTCCCGTTTTTCTTTTCTTCTCTCCTTCCTTCTCTTCCTCTTCCCTTCCTCCCCCCCCCCCCCGCTTTTCTTTCTGTTCCTCTTTCTCCCTTTCCTTCCTTCTATACCTATTCTTGGACTGCAACTCCCAGCAGTCCTCCTTATCTATCTATCTATCTATCTATCTATCTATCTATCTAATTTATCTATCTGGAGGACTGCTGGGAGTTGCAGTCCAGGAATAGGAAATTGGAAATATGCAGGGATTGGGGTGCTCTCAAAGAAATCCAAGGAGAAGAATGCTTGCATCTTGGAAGCAGTGCATTTGGATCATCCTCCTCTCCTAAAGGACCTGGTCTAGGGGATGATGGGAGCTGTAGTCTGGAAAAGAGTGCGGATATGCTATTGTGTGTTTTGTTTGCCAGGTGGAGTTGTTTTTGCGCAGGCACTGTAGTGTCTTTTTGCTTTTTTGGCTTTTTAAGTCCCTTCCACTGTGATTTTCAGTGTTTTTATGAGTGATGGTCACTTGTTGGCCTGATACATGTATTGTGTCCAAATTTGGTGTCAATTCGTCCAGTGGTTTTTGAGTTATGTTAATCTCATAAACTAACATTACATTTTTATTTATATAAATAATGGTGTAACTTCTCTCGAGACACAAGAGAGGTGGGTAAAAAATGAAATTACAGTAGAGTTTCACTTATCCAACATAAACGGGTCAGCAGAACGTTGGATAAGCGAAAATGTTGGATAAGGAGGGATTAAGGAAACACCTATTAAACGTCAAATTATGTTATGACTTTACAAATTAAGCACCAAAACATCATGTTTTGCAACAAATTGACAGAAAAACAGTTCATTACACAGTAACGTTGTGTAGTAATAACTGTATTTACGAATTTAGCACCACAACAGACAAGAATTCTTTCTTTCTCCCACTTTGGACATTATTCCACAGGTAAATATACATTTCACTTCCCTCACCTGTGGATCCGGGCGGGAGGCAGACTGCGTTGGATAATACAGAATGTTGAATAAGCAAAGGTTGGGTAAGTGAGACTCTACTGTATTATTATTGTATTGCTGAAGGGTTTCATGGCCCGAATCACTGGGTTGCTGTGAGTTTTTCGGCCTGTATGGCCATGTTCCAGCAGCATTCTCTCCTAATGTTTTGACTGCATCTATGGCTGGCATCTTCAGAGGATCTGATGGTGGTCAAGCCCTCTCCTCACTCCTCCCACCCAAGCCCCCACTTCCCACATCCAAGCCTCCTCCCTTCCCACTCCCCATACTCAACCTTCTCCCTTCCCACCCAAGCCCCCTCTGTTCCCAATCTTCACACCTGAGCCCCCCTCTTCCCACACCCAAGCCCCCTCCCTTCCCACTCCTTCCACCCAAGCCCCCACTCCTCACACCCAAGCCCCCTCCCTTCCCACTCCCCATACCCAACCTCCTCCCTTCCCACTCCCTCCCACCCAAGCCCCCTCTGTTCCCACTCTCCACACCCGAAATCCCTCTCTTCCCACACCCAATCCACCCGCTTCCCACTCCTTCCACCCAAGCCCCCACTCCCCACATTCAAGCCCCCTCCCTTCCCACTCCCCATACCCAACCTCCTCCCTTCCCACTCCCTCCCACCCAAGCCCCCTCTGTTCCCACTCTCCACACCTGAGCCCCCCTCTTCCCACACCCAAGCCACACTCCCAAGGTGCCCTCCCTGCCCACTCCCCACATCCAAGCCCCCTCCCTTCCCACTCCCCATACCCAACCTCCTCCTTCCCTCTCCCTCCCACCCAAACCCCCTCCCACCCAAGCCCCCTCTGTTCCCAATCTCCACACCCGAGCCCCCTCTCTTCCCATTCCCCACATCTAGCCCCCCCTCCCCTCTCCCCACACTCCCCTCCCTTCCCACCCCTCACACCCAAGCCCCCTCCCTTCCCACCCCTCACACCCAAGCCCCCTCCCTTCCCACCCCTCACACCCAAGCCCCCTCCCTTCCCACTCCCCATAACTAAGCCCCCTCACTTCCTGCCCACTCCTCACACCCAAGCCCCCTCCCTTCCCACCCTCACACACCCGAGCCCCCTCCTTCCCACTCCCCATACCCAAGCCCCCTCCCTTCCCACTCCTAACACCCAAGCCTCCCTTCCCAAATTCCAACTCCCTTTTTCCCATTCATCCCACCCAAGCCCCCTCCCTGCCCACTACCCACACCCAAGCCCCCTCCCTTCCCACCCCTCACACCCAAGCCCCCTCCCTTCCCACCCCTCACACCCAAGCCCCCTCCCTTCCCACCCCTCACACCCAAGCCCCCTCCCTTCCCACCCCTCACACCCAAGCCCCCTCCCTTCCCACTCCCCATAACTAAGCCCCCTCACTTCCTGCCCACTCCTCACACCCAAGCCCCCTCCCTTCCCACCCCTCACACCCAAGCCCCCTCCCTTCCCACTCCCCATAACTAAGCCCCCTCACTTCCTGCCCACTCCAAGCCCCCTCCCTTCCCACTCCCCACACCCGTCCCCCCTTCCCAAATTCCAATACTCAAGACCCCTTTTTCCCATTCCTCCAAACCAAGCCCCCTCCCTTCCCACCCCTCACACCCAAGCCCCCTCCCTTCCCACTCCCAAGCCCCCCCACTCCCCATACCCAAGCCCCCTCCCTTCCCGCTCCTCCCACCCAAGCCCTATCCCTTCCCACTCTCCATATTTATTTATTTATTTATTTATTTCGGTTACTTCTACCCCGCCCTTCTCAGGGAGGGGACTCAGGGCAGCTTACAAAGGCACAATTCGATGCCGGCATCAACATAACAATAGAATAAAAACAATATAGCAGCAATTAAACAATTAACAATCAGTTTCTGCATTACAACAATAAAACCAATAAAACCAGTTTCATCTAATTAACGCTCAGCGTTCACCATCTCGTAGTCCAAATTCCAATTCCACTTTGTCAGTCCTGTCAGTCCTAGTCGTCCGATTGTCCTTGTCTAGTTGTCAGATTGCCCGAAGGCCTGGTCCCACAACCACGTCTTTACCTTCCTCCTGAAGGAGAGGAGGGATGTTGATGCCCTGATTTCCCCCGGGAGTGAGTTCCACAGGTGAGGGGCCACCACTGAGAAGGCCCTGCTCCTCGTCCCCACCAACCTCACTTGTGATAGCGGTGGGGTCGAGAGCAGGACCTCCCCAGATGATCTCAAACTCCGGGGTGGGACGTAGAGGGAGATGCGTTCGGACAGGTACGCTGGACTGGAACCGTATAGGGTTTTGTAGGTCAAGACCAGCAAATATGTACAGAGGTTCTTGGGAAATGTTATAGTAGAAATAGAAAGTATTATGAAGAAAAAAATTAATATTAATCCAGCGACTATACTGTTATCTATTTACAATACAGATGAATGGAAGGAAAATGAAAAGAATCTGATAACAATGTTGTTAACGGCTGCAAGGCTAGTAATAGCAAAATATTGGAAAGGAGAGGTAGAAATTAAGATACAAGAATGGTACAAGGAAATTTGGCAATTAGCAATAAATGATAAATTAACATGCAATCTCAAGGTTAAAAAGGCCGAAGGAAGGATAATGATTTTGAAAATATATTGAAAATATTTATTGAGGAAACATTAAGGAAAGACAATGGTAACCAACCCCCACCAGAAGAAATGAGGTTCTGGTGGGAGCATAAAGAAAACAACAACTCCGGAGATGGGGAGCACAAGGGGTAGCACAACGGGGGAAAGGAAAAGAAGTAATTGTATGAATTATAGAGATTGTTTTGGTAATGGAATGAATATAAATGCAATAAAAATTATTAGGGTTTTTTTAGAAAAAAAGAGGAGAGCAAGTTGAATCGCTGTAAAGAATCTGGCTTAAAGAAAAGAATGAAGTATCTGCTTCAGTTCTTGTGGGTTTTTTCGGGCTATATGGCCATGTTCTAGAGGCATTTCTCCTGACGTTTCGCCTGCATCTATGGCAAGCTTCCTCAGGTGAGGTCTGCTGGAGCTGGGAAAAAGGGGTTTATATATCTGTGGAATGACCAGGGTGAGACAAAAGGCTTTTGTAAGTTGGGTTGGGTGTGAATCTTTCAACTGACCACCTTGATTAGCATACAATGGGCTAACTGTGCCTGGAGCAAACTCTTCATGAAGGGTGATTAGATGTCCCTGCCTGTTTTTCTCCCTGCTGTTTTTGCTGTTGCAATTTTAGAATTTTTTAATACTGGTAGCCAGATTTTGTTCATTTTCATGGTTTCTCCTTTCTGTTGAAATTGTCCACATGCTTGTGGATTTCAATGGCTTCTCTGTGTAGTCTGACATGGTGGTTGTGAGAGTGGTCCAGCATTTTTGTGTTCTCAAATAATATGCTGTGTCCAGGTTGGTTCATCAGGTGCTCTGCTATGGCTGACTTCTCTGGTTGAAGTAGTCTGCAGTGCCTTTCATGTTCCTTGATTCTTGTTTGGGCTGCGTTTGGTGGTCCCTATGTAGACTTGTCCACAGCTGCATGGTATACGGTAGACTCCTGCAGAGTTGAGAGGATCCCTCTTGTCCTTTGCTGAACGTAGCATTTGTTGGATTTTCTTGGTGGGTTTGTAGATTGTTTGTATGTTGTGTTTCCTCATCAGCTTCCCTATGCGGTCAGTGGTTCCCTTGATGTATGGCAGGAACACTTTTCCTCTGGGTGGATCTTCATCTTTACTCTCGTGGCTTGTTCTCGGTCTTGCAGCTCTTCTGATGTCTGAGGTGGAGTCTCCATTGGCCTGGAGAGCCCAGTTGAGGTGGTTCAGTTCATCTTGGAGGAGGTGGGCTTCGCAGATTCCTTTTGCACGGTCTGCCAAGGCTTTAATGGTGCTTCTTTTTTGACTTGGGTGATGGTTGGAGTTTTTATGTAGATATCTATCTGTGTGTGTGGGTTTTCTGTAAATGGTGTGACCCAATTGTTGATCTGGTTTGCGGATGACTAGGAGTTTTTGTTAAGACTTAGTTTTTGTTAAGACTTAGACATCTTTATTTCCTACTTTTCTTTCACTATATTGTTCCACCTCTTTTTATGTATATAGCATTTCTTTTATGGTTAATAAAAATTATTCTAAAAAACAAAACAAAAACCCAGCCCTCTCTGTTTATCTCTCAGTTTTTCTCCTCTCACCACTTAAAGTCTCTTAGTTTGTTTCAAATCTCAGTTGGGGCTTAATCAGGCTTATTGCTTCTGTTGTTTTTAATCCAGCTTTCTGTGTTTATTCGGTTGTTTTATCAGCTCATTAAAGTTGTTTCCTCTGTTGTTTCTGTGCTCAGTAATGGCAATCGTAATTCTCTCTATTTTTGTTTTCAACACTCAAGCAGCACTCATAAATCTTGGTCTTATCTTACCTCTTTTGAGGATATATATCTTTTTTTTCCTCATTAGCTTCCTCTCAACTTCTCCCTTGTATTTCGATCAGGGTGCCTTGAATGTGATTCCTGCTTCTTGGCAGCAGGTTGGATTGGTTGGTCCACGGGATCTCCTCTAACTCAATGATTCTATGATACTAAATCATAGAATCATAGAATCAAAGAGTTGGAAGAGACCTCATGGGCCATCCAGTCCAACCCCATTCTGCCAAGAAGCAGGAATATTGCATTCAAATCACCCCTGACAGATGGCCACCCAGCCTCTGTTTAAAAGCTTCCAAAGAAGGAGCCTCCACCACACTCCGGGGCAGAGAGTTCCACTGCTGAACGGCTCTCACAGTCAGGAAGTTCTTCCTCATGTTCAGATGGAATCTCCTCTCTTGTAGTTTGAAGCCATTGTTCATCCTAGTCTCCAGGAAGCAGAAAACAAGCTTGCTCCCTCCTCCCTGTGGCTTCCTCTCACATATTTATACATGGCTCATCATATCTCCTCTCAGCCTTCTCTTCTTCAGGCTAAACATGCCCAGCTCCTTAAGCCGCTCCTCATAGGGCTTGTTCTCCAGACCCTTGATCATTTTAGTCGCCCTCCTCTGGACACATTCCAGCTTGTCAATATCTCTCTTGAATTGTGGTGCCCAGAATTGGACACACTATTCCAGGTGTGGTCTAACCAAAGCAGAATAGAGGGGTAGCATTACTTCCCTAGATCTAGACACTATGCTCCTATTGATGCAGGCCAAAATCCCATTGGCTTTTTTTTCCGCCACATCACATTGTTGGCTCATGTTTAACTTGTTGTCCACGAGGACTCCAAGATCTTTTTCACACGTACTGCTCTCGAGCCAGGCATTGTCCCCCATTCTGTATCTTTGCATTTCGTTTTTCCTGCCAAAGTGGAGTATCTTGCATTTGTCACCGTTGAACTTCATTTTTCGTTAATGGTTCATTTTCACTTCTTATTTATTTATTTTATGCTCTCGAGGTGGTAAAACATGACTCTTTAGTCGGCCCCCCCTCCAAATGTTTCTACCCTAGCTGCCAGCTGTTAAAAGCTGGAAACTTGTTGAAGTGTGTACCTGCCCTGTAGAACAGCATGGGCAAACTCCCTTCAGCTGTTTTGGACTTCCAGTAGGCTGCTAGGAATTGTGGGATTTATAGTCCAAAACACCTGAAGGGCTAAATTCAGACTTTGCCTACTGTAGGATTGTGTTTGATACCACGTTAACCTCCATGGTTCAGTGCTCTGCAAATCATGGCAATCGTGGTTTCACAAGCCTTCTCTCAAACACAACTCCTAGGCACTCCAGAGCAGGAATTCTCAAACTTTGCTTCGCCCCCTTCTCCCCCTACTCGCCCTGCCTATGAATCATGCGGCCCAAGGAGCTCTGTGGGGCCTCTCCACGGCCGCCAAAGGCATCACCTGTGGGGCATCCCCACCACCGTGGCCTGCAAAGCCTCCTTCCAGAAGGCCTCCCTGCTGCCACTTTGACTGTGCTTTTCCTGCATGGCAGAAACAGGTCTGTCCCTGGGGTTGCTCCTATTGTTGTTGTTGTTGCAAAGGCTGGATGGCCCCTGGGGTGTTCCACTGAAATATTGTTAATTTTATGCTGGTTAAATATTTTACATATTTTCTTTCTGTTTTTTAAAAAACTACAAGATACGTGCAGTCTGCATAGGAATTTGTTCATTTTTTTTCAATTAGTTCACACAAACATTCTCCATCCATTTTCCAATGACTCAGCCCATTTGTCAACTTTATTGGGGTTCCACAGGAAACGTTTCCTTCAAAAAGGGCACTGTGGTTTAAAAGTTTGAGAACTCCTGAACTAGAGCATTGAACCATGGAAGTTGAGATGGAATCAGTTCGCATTCATCCCATAGTGAAGATGTGCCACAGGTAAGGAAAGCCTTTGAGAAGCTGAGAAATTTGGGTCCTTTTGGTGACCGCTTGAAACCATCTTCCAAAAGAAATCCAGAGAAGACTTTCCCCACCAAAAACCTTCAGTTTTCTTAGGATTTCCTTTTGAGAGGCCAGACTTATAGACCCATGTTTTTATATAATACATGAGGGAAGACCTGCTGATCTGTGTCCCCCCCCCCCTCCACTTTCCAGGCTCCATGTTCTTACTTAATGCACTAGGGAAGACTTCCTCCCTTTCCATGCTGTTTTATCCATGCTTGGTAAGGCATTTGTGAGGCGGCTTCTATGGGAGGATTGCTCAGAGTAGATGCCCGTTCTTCCCTGGGTCGGGATCTATTGTTTTGGTCACTGCAAAGGCATTCCTAGGAAAAATGTATTGTCGAAGGCTTTCATGGCTGGAATCACTAGGTTCTTGTGGGTTTTTTCGGGCTATAGAGCCATGTTCTAGAGGCATTTCTCCTGACGTTTCGCCTGCATCTATGGCAAGCATCCTCAGAGGTGTGAGGTCTGTTGGAAGTAGGAAAAATGGGTTTATATATCTGTAGAATGGCTGGGGTGGGGCAAGGAGCTCTTCCCTGCTGCAGTTAGGTGTGAATGTTTAGCTGATCACCTTCATTAGCATTTGAAGGCCTGCCTGAGCCTGGGAAAATCTGTTGCTGGGAGGTGTTAATCTGTGCCTGGTTTTTTCCTCTCTGTTTAGCTGTTATAATTTTAGAGTTTTTTAATACTGGTAGCCAGATTTTGTTCATTTTCATGGTCCCTTTCTGTTGAAATTGTCCACATGCTTGTGGATTTCAATGGCTTCTCTGTGTAGTCTGACATGGTGGTTGTTGGAGTGGTCCAGCATTTCTGTGTTCTCAAATAATATGCTGTGTCCAGGCTTGGTTCATCAGGTGCTCTGCTATGGCTGACTTCTCTGGTTGAAGTAGTCTGCAGTGCCTTTCATGTTCCTTGATTCGTGTTGGGCAATGCTGCGTTTGGTGGTCCCTATGTAGACTTGTCCACAGCTGCATGGTATACGGTAGACTCCTGCAGAGGTGAGAGGATCCCTCTTGTCCTTTGATGAACGTAGCATTTGTTGGATTTTCTTGGTGGGTTTGTAGATTGTTTGTATGTTGTGTTTCCTCATCAGCTTCCCTATGCGATCAGTGGTTCCCTTGATGTATGGCAGGAACACTTTCCCTCTGGGTGGATCTTCATCTTTACTCTCGTGGCTTGTTCTTGGTCTTGCAGCTCTTCTGATGTCTGAGGTGGAGTATCCATTGGCCTGGAGAGCCCAGTTGAGGTGGTTCCGTTCATCTTGGAGGAGGTGCGGTTCGCAGATTCTTTTTGTACGGTCTGCCAAGGCTTTAATGGTGCTTCTTTTTTGACTTGGGTGATGGTTGGAGTTTTTATGTAGATATCTATCTGTGTGTGTGGGTTTTCTGTAGACGGTGTGACCCAATTGTTGATCTGGTTTGCGGATGACTAGGACATATAGAAAAGGCAGTCTTCCTTCATTTTCTTTTTCCATGGTGAACTGGATGTTTGGGTGGATGCTGTTAAGATGGTCCAGGAACCTGTTGAGTTCTTCTTCTCCATGGCTCCAAATGGTGAAGGTGTCATCCACATATCTGAACCATATCGTGGGCTTTTTGGTTGCTGTCTCCAGGGCTTGTTTTTCAAAGTGTTCCATGTAGAAGTTAGCTATGACCGGGCTGAGAGGGCTCCCCATAGCTACTCCATCTTTCTGTTCGTAGAATTCATTGTCCCACTGAAAGTAACTGGTGGTGAGGCAATGGTGAAACAGAGCCGTGATGTCTTCTGGGAACCTCTGGTTGATGAGTGCCATGGTGTCTGCTACCGGGACCATGATAAATAGAGATACCACATCGAAGCTGATCAGTTTGTCGTTTGTATTTAGCTTGAGATTGCTGATTTTTTCTATGAAGTGGGCTGAGTCCTTGATGTAGTGTGTAGTGAGCCCAATATGGCTTTGTAACTGTGCAGCAAGAAATTTTGCTAGGTCGTATGTGGGGGATCCAATGGCACTCACGATGGGTCTGAGTGGGGTGGAGTCCTTATGGATTTTTGGGAGTCCATAAAGCCTGGGTGGAAGGGCTTCCGATTTACATAGCTGTTGTCGTATGTCAAAGTTTATGGAGGAGTTCTTAATCAGGGTGTTGGTTTTCTTGGTTATTTTGGCAGTTGGGTCTTGAGTTTTTTGTATATAGTAGGGTCCAGGAGTTTTCTGATCTTCTCCTTGTATTTCTCTGTATGCATGATGACTGTGGTATTCCCCTTGTCTGCTGGCATAACGAGGATATCCGGATCTGAATTCAGTTCTCTGATGGCTTGTCTTTCCTTCCTAGTAATGTTACTGGAGGGAAGTTTTGCCTTTTTCAGGATCCTTGCTGTTTCTGCTCGTACTTCTTCTGCTTCCTCCTCGGGGAGGCGATTCCTAGGAAAGCCTGTATGGCTTTCATGAATTATCTTTCGCTTCTTTCTTCACCAGGGAAATGAGGATTGTACGGAGCCACCTCTTGAGTGCCGTAAGGAAACCAATAATATCGGAAGAAGAAATCGTCTCAAGGTGATGATCTTGCTGAATTCTTGAACGCACTTACAGTTAGGAAACAAAAAAGGAAGACCCAAGGATCTGTATTGCGATTTAACACCCATATCACTGTTGGCATGTACGAGAAAAAATCTCAATGGCAGGAGTATGGAAAGAGTTTCACTTGGAGAGATCATCTGAAGGAACATGAAAGAACTGACACTGGGGAGAAGCCATATAAATGCTTTGAATATGTACAGAGCTTCACTCAGAGTTCACATCTATATTCACATCAAAGGACACATATTGGGGAGATTCCATATGAATGCCTGGAGTGTGGACAGAGCTTCACCCATAATTCAGGTCTATGTTTCCATCAAAGGACTCACTCTGGGGAGAAACCCTATAAATGCCTGGAGTGTGGACAGAGCTTCACTGTCAGTAGAAATCTACGGTCACATCAAAGGATTCACACTGGGGAGAAACTCTATGATTGCCTGGAGTGTGGAAAAAGCTTCACTTATATTTCAGGTCTACGTTCACATCAAAAAACTCACACTGGGGAGAAACCCTATACATGCCTAGAGTGTGGACAGAGCTTCACTCATAATTCAAGTCTACGTAGACATCAGAGGACTCACACTGGGGAGAAACCCTATATATGCCTAGATTGTGGACAGAGTTTCACTCAGAATGGAACTCTACGTTTACATCAGAGGACTCACACTGGGGAGAAAGCCTACAAATGCTTGGAGTGTGGACAAAGCTTCACTCGGAATGGAAGTCTACGTTCACATAAAAGGACTCATACTGGGGAAAAACTCTATAAATGCTTGGAATGTGGACAGAGCTTCACTGAGAATGGAAGTCTACATAAACATAAAAGGATTCACACTGGGGAGAAACCCTATAAATGCCTGGAGTGTGGACAGAGTTTCAGTCAGAGTTCAGGCCTACGTTCACATCAATGGACTCACACTGGAGAGAATCCCTATAGATGCTTAGAGTGTGGAAAGAGCTTCACTCAGAATGGAAGTCTACGTTCGCATCAAAGGATTCACACTGGGGAGAAACCCTATACATGCCTGCAGTGTGGACAGAGCTTCATGTATAATTCAGGTCTGCGTTCACATCAAAGGATTCACACTGGAGAGACACCCTATATATGCCTCGAGTGTGGAAAGAGCTTCTCTCACAGTGGAAATCTACGCTTGCATCAAAGGACTCATACTGGGGAAAAACCGTATACATGCGTGGAGTGTGGAAAGAGCTTTGCTAAGAATGTCAATCTACGTTTACATCAAAGGACTCACACTGGGGAGAAACCCTATACATGCCTGGAATGTGGACAGAGCTTCACTCAGAGTTCAGGTCTACGTTCACATCAAAGGATTCACAGTGGAGAGAAACCCTATACATGCTTGGAGTGTGGAAAGAGCTTCAGTAGGAATGTCAATCTAAGTTCACATCAAAGAACTCACACTGGGGAGAAACCCTATATGTGCCTGGAATGTGGACAGAGCTTCACTAATAATTCTGGTCTACATTCACATGAACGGACTCACACTGGGGAGAAACCCTACACATGCCTGGAGTGTGGACAGAAGTTTACTCATAATGGAAGTCTACGTTCACATCAAAGGACTCACACTGGAGAGTAACTATGCATGCCTGGAGTGAGAATTCAACTATACATAGACATGGAATTCACATTAGACAGCTGGCCCTCCATATTTGCATGTGTAGTTTTGATGGTGGTGATGATGATGGTAATATTTTTATTTCTTACCCTCCTCTTCCTGTGGCTCTAGGCTGCTTACAACAGAACTAAAAACACATAATTACCTAAAATATTATATAATATGCAGTAATAATCTTTCATACGGCATTATTATAATCAAAGTACGGTATATTATATTATATTATATTATATTATATTATATTATATTATATTATATTATATTATATTATATTAGCGGTCCCCTGCCATGCATTGTTGTGGCCCAGTCTAGTGATCTGGAAAATAAAGTAATGTGAAAGTGTTGGTTTCTAATATATGTAATGTCTTTATGCTTGTGGATAAACAGTATTTCTTGCTGTTTCTTTGTTAGTGTTGATGTGGAGATTGTCTGGTTTGCCTACTCTGGAACATGCAACACATCATTGTCCTTCTTTAGGGGTCCCTTTCAAATGTTTGATACTGCATCTGTCATATACATATGTGTGTGTGTGTGTATGTGTGTGAATGGCTGGATGGCCCTTTGTCAGGAGGGCTTTGATTATGTTTTCTTGCCCTGGTGAAGGGAGTTGGACTGGATGGCCTTAAGGCAGCATTTCTCAACCTAGAAAGTTAAGACCCTGGGGGAGGTCACCAGGGAGGTGTAAGAAGGGTCACCAAAGACCACCAGAAAACACAGTATTTTATGTTGGTCATGGGGGTTCTGTGTGGGATGTTTGGCCCAATCCCATCGTTGGTGGGGTTTGGAATGCTCTTTGATTGTAGGTGAACTATACATCCTAGTAACTACAACTCCCAAATGTCAAGGTCTATTTCCCCCAAACTCCATCTGTGTTCACATTTGGGCATATTGAGTATTCCTGTCAAGTTTGGTCCAGATCCATCTGTTTGAGTCCACAGTGCTCTCTGGATTCCAAAATTCAAGGTTAGTGCCCACCAAACCTTTCCAATATTTTCTGTTGGTCATGAGAGTCCTGTGTGCCAAGTTGTTTCAATTCCATTGTTGGTGAAGTTCAGAATGCTCTTTGATTATAGGTGAACTATAAATCCCAGCAACAACAACTCCCAAATTACAAAATCATACTTTTTTGAGTGATGGTCATTCCTTGTGTTGTGAGACGTTTTGTTGCCAAATTTGGTGCGGTTTCGTTCATTGGTTCTTTTGTTTTTAAGGTACTCATTACGCACAGAGCATTTTTATATATATAGAAGATAGATTATAAAGTGTGTGCATTAACAGATTACAAAGTATTATAATACTATGTAAGAAATTTTTAAAAAAATCTGTTCCTGGTTTGAAAGTGTTATTTCCTGTTTAATTGTGTGGTCCTTGTCTTGAAATTAGTTGTTATAATCCAGGAACTTCGTGTTGGTGGCTGCCACCAACTATGTTGGATTGACTCAAAAAAATGAGATATTCACTGCAAAACTATAGCACCGTGGTTCTCAACCTTCCTAATGCTGCGACCCCTTAATACAGTTCCTCATGTTGTGGTGACCCCCAACCATAGAATTGTTTTCATGGATACTTCATAACTGTAATTGTGCTTCTGTTATGCATCGTAATGTAAATATCTGATATGCAGGATGTATTTTCATTCAGTGGACCAAATTTGGAACAAATACCCAATACGCCTACATTTGAATACTGGTGGGTTGGAGGGATTGATTTTGTCTTTTGGGAGTTGTAGTTGCTGGGATTTATAGTTCATCTACAATCAAAGAGCATTCTGAACTCCACCAGCGATGGAATTGAACCAAACTTGGCACCAAACTCCCGCGAGAAACAGAAAATACTGGAAGGGTTTGGTGGGCATTGACCTTGAGTTTTGGAGTTGCAGTTCACCTACATCCAGAGATCACTGTAGACCAGTGGTTCTCAACCTGGGGTCCCCAGTTGTTTTTGGCCTTCAACTCCCAGAAATCCTAACAGCTGGTAAACTGACTGGGATTTATGGGAGTGGTAGGCAAAAAACATCTGGGGACCCCAGGTTGAGAACCACTGCTGTAGACTCAAACAATGATAGATCTGGACCAAACTTGGCATGAATACTCAATGTGCCCAAATGTGAACACTGGTGGAATTTGGAGAAAAGAGACCTTGACATTTGGGAGTTGTAGTTCCCACATAGACCCCCCCCCTCGCCTTGAAGGGACTTACTGGTGCGAGACTTCCGACTGCCTTGCATGCTCTCCCTCGCCCGCACATGCACACCATGCTGCCATGTGCCAAGCACACCTGCTCTTCCTTCCCCACTTCTTGTCTCAGAAACAGCCCTCTCCTTGGCTGAGAAGCCGGCCAGTCACAGCAGAGGAGGGCTTTTGGTGGGAGAATTCACTGTCTGTTTCCAAAAAGGAAGAGAAAAACAGGCGAAGAGATCTTCAACTTTATCTGCAAAAGGGGTTCCTAAGACTATCAGAAATATGTTTTCTCATGGTCTTTGGTGACCCCTCTGAAACCCCCTCACAACACCCCCAGGGGTCCTGACCCCCAGGTTGAGAAACACTGGATGTAGGTAAACTACAACTCCAAAACTCAAGGTCAATGTCTACCAAACCCTTCCAATATTTTCTGTTGTTCATGGGAGTTCTGGGTTCCAAGTTTAGTTCAATTCCATCGTTGGTGGAGTTCGGAATGCTCTTTGATTGTAAGTTAACTATAAATCCCAGCAACTACAACTCCCAAATGACAAAATCAATCCCTCCAACCCACCAGTATTCAAATGTGGGCGTATTGGGTATTTGTGCCAAATTTGGTCTAGTGAATGAAAATACATCCTGCATATCAGATATTTACATTACGATGCATAACAGAAGCAAAATTACAGTTATGGAACAGCAATGAAAATAATTTTATGATTGGGGGTCACCACAACATGAGGAACTGTATTAAGGGGTCACTGCATTAGGAAGGTTGAGAAACACTGCGTTTAGTGGACGATCTACGCTGGGAACTAGATAGGGGGTGTGTGTTCTACTGACCTCTCAGTGGCCTTCGATACCATAGACTACAGTATCCTGGATCACCTTGTGGGAATGGGCCTTGGAGGTACTGTTTTACAGTGGCTCCAATCCTTCCTAGAGGGCTGTTCCCAGAAGGTGTTCTTGGGGGACACTTGCTTGGCCCCACAACCATTGTCTTATGAGGTTCTGCAGGGATCAATAATGTCTTCAATGTTGTTTAACATCTACATGAAGCCACTGGGAGTGATCATCCGGAGTTTTGGAGTTCGATGTCATTTGTACACAGATGACATTCAATTCTTATCACTCATGTCCACATACTACTAAGGAGGCTGTTCAGGTCCTCAACCGGTGCTTGGCAGCTGTGATGGTCTGGATGAGGGCTGTACAGAAGTTGATTGTAAATGATATGATTATAAACTGTATTGATTGTAAATGATATTATTATAACTGTATTTGTGTTTACACTGGTTGCCCTAATGCTGGAGCGGCCTAGCTGTGAGGAGTGTGTTACCATGGAAACAATGCTGTAGAGAAGTGGGAGGAGCTTAGAGAGGGGAGTTTTGAAAAGCGACAGTTAAAAAGTTAGTTAGGTTTTATGCTCAGAGGAGTGAAGAGTCATGAAGAGTCAGGGTTTAGCCTCAGAGGAATGAAGAGTTAGGTTTAGGCTCAGGGAAGTGAAGAGTTGAGAGAGAGAGAGAGTGGGAAGTAGAGAAGCAGTGTTTGTGAATAGTCGGAGGTTTCTTCAGTTCGGGAAAGCTGAAGGGGAAACCTTATTAGTTTTATTAGTTAGAGAAGACTAATAGAAGCTCGTTTAGATCACTAGTTAAAAGTGAACTAGAGATCTGAGGTTTGATCACGGAAGGGTCAAACAGGAAGACTATTCACCTCAGGAACCATTGTTTAATAAAGTGCTTCACCACAGCAAAATTTATTTATAAGTTGTAACATCAGAAGACTGAACTGTATCGCAACCAAGTTATATGTAACGTTCTCCAAGTATTTTCCAAGTTTATCACCAAACTGCAACCATACGCTTTGTTTCAAAATAAACTTGTTCTCTTTGATTGTAAAACTGCCTCATCTCCATTAATTCTGCGTTTAGTGTGCCCAATCTCCCAAAATTACCTCACATCACCAAATTGGTGGCACCATTAAGGATAATAAATAATAAATCGTAACTTCTCTCTCCTGAGACCTCCCTTACCGAATTTGGGGCCCGAGCTCCTTCGCAGGGCAAACAAATTGAAATTGAATCCAGACAAGACAGGTACTCCTGGTCAGTCGTAAGGCCGAACAGGGCATAGGGTTACAGCCTGTGTTGGATGGGGTCACACTCCCCCTGAAGACACAGGTTCGCAGCTTGAATGATCCTGGACTGAGCCTGGAACCCCTGGTGTCAGCGGTGGCCAGGGGACCATTCACACAAATAAAACTTGTGCAGCAGCTGCACCTGTACCTTGGGAGATTTGACTTGGCCATGGAAGTTTAAATGGCATGGACTAGAATGACAATACTAGTGTATTGAATATAGGAACATGGAACAACGGATTATGAGATTGGATCTTGATTCTACCTATGAGACGCTAATGAGATGTTATAGTTATGTTTAACTGATTGTTTATTATATCATTGTTTTAACTGGTTTTTTAAACTCTTTTTATGATGTTGAGCATTGAATTTTGCTATTGTTAACCCCTTTGAGTCACCCAAGGGCTGAGAAAAGCGGTATATAAATGAAGTAAGTAAGTAAGTAAGTAAATAAATAAACAAATAAGTCTATGTTCTGGTTACATCCCAAGTAGAGTACTGCAATGTGCTCTATGTGGGGTTGCCTTTGAAGACTGTTTGGATGGTTCAAATGGTCCAATGGGGGGCAACCATATTGCTCACCGGAGTGGTGTTCAGGGATCATACTAGGCATGTAGCCGGGGGGGGGGGGGGGCTAGCTTCACCCCCCCCCCCCCCCCCGAAATTCTCATGGTGGTCCGCGAGAAGGCCCTACTGGTACATTATTTAAACTGTTATGTTTATTCATATGATCTTATCACTATGCTCAATATATCCCATATGCATGGGGGTATTGGGGTAATGGTACAAAAAGTTTGCTAGGGTAGACTCTCTGAGCCCTCCCCCCCCCCCGAATCAAACTCAGACCACCACCCCCCGAATCAAAATCCTGTCAACGGGCCTGATACTACCCCTCTGTTACGCCAACTCCACTGGCTGCCAATTTTTTACCAGTGACAATTCAAAAGGCTGGCTTTAGCCTATAAAGCCCAAATGGTTCTGGCCCAGCTTACCTGTCCAAATGTATTTCTCCCTATGAACCATTTAGGA